TATATGGTTTAACTAAACTTTTGATACAAACTTAAAATATTTTCGTTTAATCATCATCATTGAATTCTGCTCACATGCTACCACTAGTTTTTTTTCTGTGTAGGTGGCTGTGAGCATTAGACTATGCAGTGGGTTCTTGGGGTCTTCTAACTTTAGTTGGTGTACTAAAGGTCGGGCCAGAATTTAAGATTTTCAATACCTAAATATAAATATAACTATAATAACTGTGCAAATCAATCAAATTTATTTTAACCTTTTTAAAAAAGAAAAACAAACTTCAGCAAAGAAACTTAAGAGACATAAAAGTCACAAAGATAGAACCGATTAGTTCTTGTTACAGAAAATTATTACAAAATATATACATTTATAGATTAATAGAGTCGAATACGTCGAATACAATAAGTCCTATAAAAAGGATCATCCAGCAGCTTACAAATAAAATGTTATAATAAATGCTGTTAATAGATAAGTTATTTAAAATGATGACAGTTAGATTTGACCAGGTAAAGGCCAAAAGAACAAAGTATAACTTACCTAAATAAATGCAAAGTTAAGAATCAAGTCAACGTATAACATCGAGGACTTCTTATATGTTATATAAGTTGTAACTTATTAAATCATAAAAATTATCAAGCCTATACATGGACATTGATAAAGTTCAACAGATTACATCAAATTTAAATAGGATTTCAACTCAATTGAATCACTAAAATTTGACAAAATTATTTAGAATTAAAGTTACTGAAAATAACAAAATGTAACAAAAACAAAAACCTACGAGTCTATGCTCAAGACCACACTAAAAATATATATTTAAAAAATTACTTAGCTTAAACAGTAGATAAACGATCCACGGAGCATCCGAAGATTCAAGACTCTGCTTTCATTAAGTATTGATACTAGGTGGACATCAAAATGATGATGTTGGTGGCTCTATGTTAAATATGTAAACCGCAAACTACATGGACTCATTGTACGCCTCTCGACAAACTAAACTCTTAGACTGGACGGAATCCAATCAAAGTCAAGGAAAATCCCATCAAAAGGACATCAAATGTGCATGGTTCAACATCACATATATGGTCAAATTCCATAAGATATTTTCCATTATCATTAACATGGTCAACATCAAAGAACATATCATCGTTACCCAAATCGCTGTACAATTCGTACATATCTTGATACAAAAACGTTAACCAAATCGCTGTATAAATCCTTACAAATCGCTTTACAAAACGCTCCTAAAAACACGTGTTCTATGAAGATACACAAAAAAGTGACAAAAAAAAACTTACCAGCCAGCTTTCGCAACTGCGTCTTAGCCAAATCCAGAATTCAACTGTATTTTAAAAAATATGTATGAGGTTCAAATCCCGAAATCCCAACACTAAGGGTGGATTAATTATTATGCAGTACCAAAAATCTCCAAATGCATAAAACTTTAACTACGAACACACACACAGGCTATGTTAATGACCTTGCTACGTTGGCTTTTAAACTTGGAAAGAGCGAAATATGCGTAATTTCTCAAACCAAACATTCGATATCTACAAATCGAATAGTTTCGAATCTGACCACGGTACGAATCGATAATCGATTTACATTCCGATACATCAGAGTTGGGTCGGATACAGGAAAAAAGTATCCGAGTACCGGATACGGATACTTATAATGTATCCGGATACTTTCAACTAAAAAGTTCTCGGATACAAGTATCCGGATACTTTTTTCGGATACTTTAAAGGATACATTTACGGATACTTTTAAATTGAGTTAAAATAATGTTTTTATACCAATAGTTATAATTATGCAATAAGATTGATTAAGAGTAACAATAATCAATACTAGGCATAAATAAATTATCGAAAATGGATTGCGGTATAACAGAAACAGGAAAAAACTACTCAATAAATTGTTTATTATTTTTATTCTGTCAATATAAAACATTAAAACAAAATAAAAAATTAAACATAAAGGTGCGTGTAAATAAAACGAGTCGCGCCTGAATCGCGCCAAAAACCAGCCAGTGTCGTGTCCATATAAATCTAAAGAAATAAGCTCATTGTTGGCGCGACTTGCCATGTTTATACAACCTTTCGATATTCTCGTCAGTGTCAGATGTATTCGACAATCCATTTTTTGAGGATCCTCCAACGAGCGGTACTTGGTAGAATCGAGAGCATCCAAAGGAGGAGGAGTGAGAGATTGCTGAATGTTTCGTTCTGGCATAGGCTAAGCAGGCTCGTATATTTGATCTTGTCAGATCTGTATACTTTATTGATGTAATGACGACATAAATAACACATGATCAGTAACAACGTCATACATGTATGAGTACATTATAATACATACCGTCATTCGGTTATTATTATATCATTTTACTTTTAATATTTTTATTAAGTGGAAGTAATACCCCGCTGATTTTATTTATATTTTTTTGTCAAGCGATTTAAATGAAATTTTGGAGAGACATTTTACACGAAATTCTATATTCTTTTATTTTTACATTTTTTTTTTCTAAGTTGATTTTCCAAAATATTATTTTTTATTTATACCATTTTTTAAAAAAACAAAATAGATACTGAAATTTACCTTAACTATCTTTAAATTCCAAATTTATACTCTTTTCTAATAAGAGAAATCTATTCTCCTATTCTTTACTTGATTTTTATTTCTCAACTGATATAAATTTACTTTATTTACACATTTTATGCGAAATTCTAAAGGTACACCCTCACCGAATCAACATTGTCGATCGACTTTGTATATCGACGTTGTCGATTGTGTGTGTACGCGGCAATCGAGGGTGTCGATCGACAAAATAAATTGATCGACATGTCGATTTGTTTTCCATGGCCTGTCGGTAAACATGAAAGAGCAGTTGATTGACTTTAGTGTGTGGACGTGTTTTCGACATTCGACTATTAGTACTGAGTACTAAGTACTCAGTAACGTCTTGCTCCGTTATGTAAATGGCAGGTCTATAATTGGTGTCTTCTTTACACATTTTTGGCCCGATTTCTTGTAATAAATATTCAAATTCACTTTCCAACATTCGAAAAAAAATTCTAAAACCACCATTACACCCGTATTCAAGGCTCAATATGTGGACGTCATCTTTTTTAAATCTTTTATCAAATTACTAGCGTTGTATCTAGTTCTAGTTTGAAGACTTGGTCGAATCCAAAATCTTCTTTTTCGTGCAAGTTTTCTTTTAGTCGCGCTAATAGTATATGAGACACAAGCAACTATAATGTCATCTTCGTCAGACATGTTAATTTCGACTGATCGACAAACATTTCTGTCAATTCTGGTGTGGACAGATGCAGTTTTGTAGACTTGTTGATTGACCATGTCGATAGACAGAGTCGATCGGCAGAGTTAATTCGGTGAGGACGCATCTTTAGATACAATTGCAATATTGTGTCTTAAATATTTTAATATTGAAAAATACTTATTTTATTTCTAATTATACAGGGTAGCTCAAAGTATTTCGTTTATATATTTTAATAGAGATAATATGGATTGGATCAGTTACGATTGCGTTAAATAATTTAAAAGTATCCGAATGCCGAAAAAAGTATCCGGTATCCGGATACTTACAAATTTGGTCACGGATACGGATACCGGATACAAAATTTGAAAAGTATCCGGATACAGCTTTCGGATACACATAAAGTATCCGGATACTGAATCCGGATACAGAAGTATCCGGATACTACCCAACTCTGCGATACATCGATAAATAACCACAGTGAGTTATTTACAATAATTAATATTGTTATCTGCTGGATCAACTAAATCCTAATACAGTTAAACTAATTATTAACCTCTTATAAAACATTTACTAATTATAATACAAAATGTACATACTTAAAATTACAATCATATCGAACGCTACCCCAAATCGATTTATAAATTACAGATTTACTAATCATCAACAAAACGTATTTATCACGTTACAATCGTCTGTCGGAACAGCTGATGTAAATATATTTGAATTAAACAAGAAAAATTACTCTACACTCAGAAAACAAAAGTAGTAAAGATGAAATATTGAAATTGTGTCAATTAAATATTTGTTATTTCAGAGCAATGAAAATAAACGAAATTGTTTAATAAAGTGACGTAATTAAAAATTGTAAAATTTGATTGTAACATAGCCCGTAAAAGTGTACTGTACTACTAATACTTATATGGATTTTACCAAGAAAATAGCAAAAAGTAGCAGCTAATTTGAAGTTTGCTACAAAGTAGTATGCTCAAAGATAAAAGGTATATATAGTAAATAGTGTAACTTTACGTAACACATTGGGATATCCTTACCAAAACTTGAAAAATAATATTTAGATATAATTAAAAAACACTTTTCTTAATACTGCCAGTATTTCCACGTCTCCATATATAAACAAAAACTAAGAGTTTGCTAAAAAAAATATAAACTTACCTGCATAAATGTCAACTATCCTAAAACAATCAAAATGAAGCACTGCTTTAAATATTTTGTGAAATTTTAAGACACAATAGGGAAAAAACTGAATAAAAAACATGTCAAAGTTTGCAGTGTACTAACGTGTATCCAAGGCAACCGATGATAGTGATTCTACTGTATTAGAATGCTCCAGAGCCTACTTAGTTGTGATCTATAAACATTTATTACTATTTCAGTAGTTTGTTATGTTTGAATTTGTTCAACATTTTAAAGGAATTCTGACCCACTGTGCGCCGTCAGCACGGTCTCACCGCAAATATATATGTATACACACAGAAATGGATCTGATATAATTTGAGCAATTATTCTAGTTTTTATTTTAATTAGAAAATTCTCTTGTCAAAACTTAAAACAAACTTTCAAACATCGGGGTCGAGCAGTGTATTCTTCTATCGATTGTTCGACTGCGTGTTCCGTCGCTGTGCGGTCGTCCTTCTCCGCTAGTCCGCCGTCTACTCCTTCTTGTTCCACGGAGAGCGCACCGAGAGAACAGAGACAAGCAGAAGCAGAAGCAGCCAGTAGGCAGTAGGGACAGTAGTGCGTGTTATGGTGTCCCGCAGTCAGTGCCAGTAGTCGCGCGTCTCAACGTGTAACAAGTGACATGGGCCTTCCACGAGCCGGTATCGGGATCGTTTTGTTCCTGTTATTCCTGACCTACACAACTTTAGCTGCCGTTATTTTACCTAACACTTCAGGAATTGACGGACAACTTACTGCTAATCACAAAGTAGATCATTTCTTTTCACTTTGGATGGTGTTTAATAATGAGGAAGTTAAAATGTCAGGTCAGTAAAAGTATAATATACACTTATGAATTTATTACCAGTCAATTTTTTATAAACTTAATTGATTTTTTATTTTAATTTTAATTAAAAATTATTTTTAAATTTTGATTAAAAAGTTGATCAAAAGAATAGAAATAAAACAATTTGGTGTTAAAGTTTCTACAATCAACAATCAGCCACTTTTTCAGGTCTACCTTTTTCTCTTTAATTAATATTCTTAATATTTTTAGTTTTACCTATTTTACTGTAATCTTCGTGTGCAAGAAAGTTGTCTATTTATTTCGTAGTAAAACATAAATAAAACTCAAACTCCTGAGCACAAAAATTGTTTATTAAAAACAGGAATGAAGTACAACTAGTTTCGGTCAGTGACCGTCATCAGGTCTGTAAGGGGTCTGTCGAGGGATCCTGAGATGCGAATTTTACAAAAAAAAAATTAAACACTCAAAAGTATCTAGTTTCTATAGTAAATTTTCGTAAAAAAAATTCTGTAAAAACCAGTATTTTTCGAGAAAAGTCTAATTAAAAACCTCAATTTCACAGGTTATATTCACAAAACATTTACTCTAGAGATTCGGTCTTCAAAATTACAATGTTGCCAAGTTGTTAACGAAATTGTCGCTTTCAAGAATATTTAAAATGTATAAATTAGGAAATTATAAAAAACAAGACGAAGAATCGACTTCTCGTGTGAAAATGTTGTCATATCAATTATTACATTGCAATGGTCATTTTTAACCTATGCCCTGTGTTGTACCAGGCCAACCAATTGACTTCAGTATCAGAAAAATTATATAAAACTAACGATTTAAAAAATACCCATAATAACGACATCTTGTAGGGTGGCGGCTTCGCCGCCACCAGAAAATTTGAACCCATACCTGGCTACGCTGACTGGCATAGACTCCAACGGCCTGGACACAGCTTAAATTAAAAAAAAAACACGTATTTTTTACAAATATTAGATAAGTACCGACATGCCGTAATTAACGCACAATCATCATGAAATAAAATAAAAAGACGGATGTCTGTGTGTTTTCGAGCTATACAAAACAATTTTCGAACACCAACTTAGATATTATTAGATAGTGATTTTACATTCAAGTGTTTGGCAATGTTGCAAACTCAAGGACCGCATGTGTCAACAATTGACTATTTCATGAATTAATTTGTTTTATGTTTTGTGGAAGAAAAAAGTGTAATGATTTTAAAAGTTCGGTTAAAACAGACAAAAAAATCGCATTTTATTATAATATAAATAAAAATAGCAAGTGAAATAAAATTTTACCAATGTAATTTCAGTTAAAACATAAAAACTAAATTACTTCAATATACTAGTGCTAAAACTTTGAAATTGCCACCTCAAAATAGTAGGATGAAACCAAATTATTTGTATAGTAAGTAAAGAGCTGAAGGCGACTATAATATACAGTGTGTCTACTTAAGTTGGAACCATATTGAAAACATTTTTATTATTGATTTTAGGAAAAAAAGTTATTCTTGATAAAAAGTCCTGCATGACCCAAAACTTGAAATACAGTCATCAGATATCAAATTTTTCAAGCCGTATACGAGGTTTGTAAAAAATATGAATTTTGCTCAAGAGTAAAGTACGTTTATTTTTTTACAAAATCGAAAATTTTCATTAAGAAATTTGCTAAATTCTTCACAAACATCAACAAAAGGAAAGCGTATCATGTTTATAGTAGCTAACGTAATTTATAACGTTTTCAGATATTTACAATCAATGTGTAGAGTGGAGAGTTTATAAAAAATAAGAAAATCTGTTTTTTCAGATAGATCGGTGTAATTGTATATTTGAATGTAATATTCAATTCTAATCAACTTTTCTTAATGAAAATTTTCGATTTTGTCAATAATATACGTACTTTACTCTTGAGCAAAATTCATATTTTTTGACAAACCTCGTATACGGCTTGAAAAATTTGATATGTGATGACTGTATTTTAGGTTTTGGGTCATGCAGGACTTTTTATCAAGAGTAACTTTTTTTCCTAAAATCAATAATAAAAATGTTTTCCATATGGTTCCAACGAGGGTTCCAACTTAAGTAGACACACTGTATAAATAAAAACTGGCGAGTAAATGACAATAGTGTATAAGAAATTATTATTTATTAATATTATATCTTTACCGACAAGCAATTACATATGGGGAGAAACAACAATAATTAATATATCTAAAAACCAGTTATAAAAAGAAACCATATTTTTTTATTTTGATATTTATTTTAACAGTAAATGAGTAGTAATATAAAAAAGAAAAAGAAAAAACATCGCTATGGTACTAACATTATAAATTAGGAAATTAAGTACTAAAAGTCAGGAGCTAAAGCAACTTAATAGGGCCGCAGTGACGGCTTTAGCACCAGAAGCAGATGTTAATGTCTCTATAGTAAAAAAATTATGCTAGTGTTCAAAATAATGGAAGCCAACGATGATTCTCTATAGCTTAACAAACCACTTTTCTTTAATCTTGGTAGTCAGTCTTAGTTTGGAAATTATCTTTAAGGTACCATTTGGGAGCGCGAGATCGAGAATGCGACAGGCGTAAAGTGACAGCGTAAGGCGACCGAGCGTAGCATTTATGCATCTGTCGTCCTACTCGACCTTGGGGTCGCTTCAGTGGTCGCTTGTCTCTTGACGCGCCTACCTAAATGGTACCTTAAATCATGAAATATTTCTAGCCATGTTTAAGTATTTTAAATTTGATAATCACTCCAACTCACTTTTAAAATCATACTTTCATCAAAGAAACCAAATAGTGCAAATAGATAATATTTATTCTTCTTCGCTGAAGGTCTCTTCTGGCGTACCTCAGGGCAGTATATTAGGCCCATTGTGTTTTAGTCTACATACCTCACAATTTCTTACTGTTTTGAAATACTGTAATAGCGCGGATGATACTCAGCAACCATCTGATATCAAATTTTATTAGTCTTATACGAGGTTAGTCAAAAATAAAGGTTGAGCAAAATCATATTTTTCCAACAAAGCACCCTGTATTATTTAAAAATAGCAATTTTTTAGTAAAGTTTTATAATATTTCAAGAGCCTAAAAATATGGTGTAGTTGTTTATAAAAAAAGCTTTAAAAAACCGAAGTGCTCTGCTGGATTCGTTCGAAGGTAGCAAAGCACCCTGTATTTTTTAAAAAATACATTTTTTTAAAAGTTATATATGGTTTTAGGAGTCTAAAAATAGAAATAATAATAATAAACCGAGGTGCTCTGCTGACTTTGCTCCAACAAAGCATCCTCTATTATTTAAAAATAGCAATTTTTTAGTAAAGTTTTATAATATTTCAAGAGTCTTAAGATAGCCTAAAAATGTGGTGTAGTTGTATTTAGAAAAAAGCTTTAAAAAACCGAGGTGTTCTGCTGGATTCGTTCGAAGCTAGCAAAGCACCCTGTATTTTTTAAAAATAACATTTTTTGAAAAGTTTTATAATATTTTAAAAGCCTAAAAATATGGTGTCGTTGGTTTTGGAAAAAAGCTTTAAAAAACTGAGGTGCTCTGCTGACTTCGTTTGAAGCTAGCAGAGCACCTTGATTTTTGCAAAAAACGAGGAGCATAAAATTTTTGAATAGAATATTAAAATAGCCTTAAAATAGCCTAAAAATGTGGCATATGTTTTAACTCAAAATTCCCAAGGTGCTTTGCTGCCATCATTGGCATAGAAATAAGACAGGTGAAAAATGACATTTTGCTCTGAAGCCAACAACCGTTATATATGACGGTGGGTGGGGTTTTTTTCACATGTAAGTCAAATGGCACCATCATTCATCTGTAAGTCACCCCAGAGCGCCACGGCAAATAATAGTAATAGCTGTTTCAACCCTGCACAAGCTCGGCTTCTAGGATTAAAATTAAATATTGCCGAGATATTATTATCCAAGCTACAACTGATATATTATATCACTTATTGACACCTAATAGTGCCCTCAATGAATTATATATTTTTAATAACTTTGTTACTGCAATTAACTTACACCCATGTACTTTAGCTCTTTAGTCTGTTTGGATGTAAATAAATAAATAAGTAGAATCCAGTCTTATTTAACTTCGCTTAACATACATCCTTTGGGCTTACCTATAATTCTCATTTACTAAATGTATTCTTAGTTTATTAGAAGAGCAAATACACTTCTCCTTATTAAATTGTGTTTAATTTCCATTAAATTTACGTAGTTGACCGTCCAACATTTATGGCATTGAAAGACAGCTGATTGCCATGGCCAATAATTTCATTTCCTCTTTTATCGTCTTCAACAATGACTTTATTATAATGGCAGGTTAGTTATATTAATATGTGTTTGCGTAAGCATGAAAAGGAACGAGGAACTTCTTATGCATAGTGAATCAGAATATTTAGTTAGATAAAAAAAATTGACATTGATATTTCTTAGCAAATAAGAAATATGATACATTAAAAAAAATATATTTAAGGTAAGGGATAATTAACCCCAATAAAAGTCATTAAACCACCACAACTGTTTATTTATTAGTATTACACTATTCTATATTTTATTGCGTGGCTACGCGGTCGAGCTAAGACTCCGACTGCTGCTCCCCTCCGCTGCTCTCCGTTCGTCCGTCCTGACTTGCCAGGAGTATTGACAATTGACAGTGACACGTGGTCAATAATGTTGGGGTACAAGGGGAGTAATACTAACATATTTACATTTGAATAAATACCAAATTGATTTAATGAAACTTAAATATCAGACATTTTGTAAGGAGACAGTGGTAAGCTCTTTGGAATTATAGTGGACATAGAAGGAATTCCGTGGAAATCTCTGGACTACTTAATAAAATATGGTTGCAAGAGCAATATCCTTAGTTGTAAGTCATAGAAATTAAGAGCAATTTAGCCACTTTTCGACTATTAGTTCCGATTTTACAATTTTTTTCAACGTTACAATATTTTTTTGCTTATCAACTATTTTGCCGACACAAAAAAAAAAGATTCTTGCTACAT